GGCCTTAGGTTTAGATCTTTCATTCACCTTGGGTTGATTTTTTCAATGGTGAGAGGAAGAAGTTCAGATTCCTCTATTGGTAGGTGGTTATCCAATTTTTCCAGCTTCATTTACTGAAGAGGTTTTCCTTTTCCCACTTCAGTGCATAGTTTACAAAAATATTTTCCCATTCTAAAGGCTGTTGACTCGTACTAATTACTATGTCTCTTGCCATTCAGAAACTTCTTAGTCTAATGTAATCTCACTTGTCTATTTTTGGGATTATCCACTGTGCATTGAGGATCTTATTTTAAAAGTCTTTTCTTATCTTAATGTCTGCCAGAATTTCCCCAGTTTTTTCAGGGGACGTTTTATAGTTTGAGGCCTTAGGTTTAGATCTTTCATTCACCTTGGGTTGATTTTTTCAATGGTGAGAGGAAGAAGTTCAGATTCCTCTATTGGTAGGTGGTTATCCAATTTTTCCAGCTTCATTTACTGAAGAGGTTTTCCTTTTCCCACTGGGTTGACTGGTACCCTTTGTCAAAAATCAGTTGGCTGTATGCTTGGGAATTTGTTTCTGGGGACTCTGTTCTGTTCCATTGGTCCACCTGTCTGTTTCTTTACCAGTACCATGTTCTTATGATTACCACAGCTGTGTAATATATTTTGGTGTCTGGGAGTGAGATGTTACCCATTCCCCTCTTCTTGTGCAGGATTGCTTTGGCAATGAGAATCCTTTTATTACTGCAGACAAATTGTATGATTGTCTTTTCTAGATTTGTGAAGAATGTGTTCGGTGCTTTGATTGGGATAGCACTAAATATGTAGATTTATTTGTGTAGAATTACATTTTGATTACACTAATTCTTCCAATCCAGGAACATGGGATTTTCTTCCACTTTTTTTGCTTCATTTTCAATTTTGTTGTTTAGCTTCTTGTAGTTTTCCTTGTGTAGGTCTTTTACTTTGGTTAGATTTATTCCTAGGTGTCTTATACTTTTGCGTCTATGGTAAATGGAATTACTGTTTTCAGTTCTATCTCAGCCTGCCTGCTGTTCGTATTTAGAAATGATATAGATTTCTGTATGTGGATTTTGTATCCTGCAACTTTATTGTATTCATGTATTACTTCCAGGAATTTTTTCATGGATACCATTGGATCTTCTATGTATACAATCATGTCATCTGCAAATAGAGAGAGATTCACCTCTTCTTTTCATATTTGAATGCCCTTTATTTTTTCCTCTTTTCTGATTATGTTGGCGAGGACTTCTAGTACTATATTTTGAAAGAGTGGAGGAAGTGGGCATCCTTGTCTTGTACATATTTTTAATGTAAAAGCTTTCAGCTTTTCGTCATTCAGGATGAGGTTCACTATGAGTTTTTCATAGATACCTTTTATTGTGTTGAGTAATGACCCTTCTATGCCGATATTGTGAAGAGTCTTGATAACGAAGGGGTGTTGTATCTTACCAAATACTTTTTCTTGATAAATTGATATGGTCATATGGATTTTATCTTTTTTCCTCTTAACATGGTGTATTACATTTATGATTTTGTGTATGATTAACCAACCTTGCATCCCTGGATTAAAGCCTACCTGATTGTGATGTATAATCTTTTTTATAAGATGTTTCATATGATTTGGTAGAATCTTATTGAGAATCTTTGCATCTATATTCATCAGAGATATTGGTCTATAGTTTTCCTTCCTTGTCCAGTCCTTATCGGTTTTAAGGACAAGAGTGATGGAGGCTTCATAGAATGAGATAGAGAGAGATTTGCCCTTTTGGATCTTTAGAAATAACTTGAGCAGAATGGGGGTTAACTCTTCTTTGAAAGTTTTGTAGAATTCAGAGGTAAAGACATCAGGGCCAGGGCTTTTCTTTGTTGGAAGGTTATTTATTTCTAATTCAATCTCTGGGCTTGTTTTGGGCTTATTCAAACTTTCTGTATCCTCCCGGCTCAAACTTGGTAGATTATTTGTGTCCAAGAATTTGTCCATCTCATCCAGATTGTCTTGTTCCTTGGCATATAGTTGTTCATAATATCCTCTAATGATGTTCTGTATTTCTACTTTATCTGTTGTTATATTGCCTGCTTCTTTGCAGATTTGATTTTCCTGGTTCCTTTCTCACTTTTTCTTAAGTCTTGCTAGTGGTGTATCAATTTTGTTTATGTTTTGTTTGTTTGTGTGTTTGCTTGTTTGCTTGTTTGTTTTTGGAGAGTTTTTTTGTTTGTTTGTTTGTTTGTTTGTTTGTTTTGCTACTTGCCAGACAGATAGAGAGAGACAGAGAGTCAGAAAGTGAGAAATCACCCCCCAGGGGGGATGGTCACTCTGCAATCCCTTCTCCTCCATTCCTCTCGGGATCTTGGGCATGCACGCACACGTGCCCGACTTGAGTTTTAAGCCACCGGGTCCAGAACGTGAACTGCAGTCAACTACATGGGAGTCCAGCAACATAGTCATTATACTAACTGCTGTTCCCTTGTTTATGTTTTCAAAGAACTAGCTTTTACTTTCACTTTTTTCTGTATTATTTATTTCTGTATTTCATTTATTTCTGCTCATATCTTTATTCCTTTTTTCTGAAGTTTTTTTGTTTGTTTGTTTGTTTGTTTTTGCTGTTGATTTTCCATTAGTATGAGGCATGATGTTAGGTAATCCATTTGACTTCTTTTCATATTCTACTTATGTGCACTAATTGCTATGAACTTCTCTCTTATGACTGCTTTGGCAGTGTCCCAAAGATTATGGAAACTCATGTCTTCATTGTCATTGGCTTTCATTAATCTTTTTAATTCAGTCTTTATTTCTTCAGTAGTTGTGAAGTCATTCAGGAGTAGGTTACTTAGTTTTCATGTATATGTGCATTTTTTAGAATTTCTCTTGAAATTAAACTCAAGTTTAATTCTGTCACGGTCGGAGAAGATGCTGGGTATAGTTTCTATGCCTTTGATTCTGCAGAGGCTTTCCCTTTGGCCTATGATGTG